GGTTTGTTACCTCTTGCTTCTTGACCTACAACATGGTGTCTGCCTCCTTTGGCAGCTACTTGGCATCTCTCTGATTCTGCCTTATTTCTGCCTCTATCTCTGCTGGGAGTTCCTACCTAGTTCTCTTCTGCCCTGCCACAGGCCAGAACAGTTTTAATTCATGAACCAGTACAACACATATACATCAGGGCATCCCTCATCATAGGTATGTACCTTTCTGTACACTTAGGTTAAACAAGAGATAAAGATGAAAACATTCCCATGGGGCAGTAGATTACGTCTCATTTCCAGAGGTTCTCATCTGGAATGGAGATACTGACCGACCCGGGTGAGGTTGGAAATTAGTATAGACTTTTGATTACATGATTATTATGCGCTACTATCAACATTGCGTGAAATAGAAGCCAACACATCAGTTGTAAACCCAGGGTGATAGCAATGCTGCTTGAGAGATGCCAATTCACAGATTGACTATGAATTTTCCACCTGTCTGAGTTCTCTCTTCTGCAGCCCTCCCTTCTTGGTGATTAAAATGGCTACACTCCTCACCCCTCACAACTAGTCCTCTCCAGCCTCAAGGAGATGATGGTTACCTCAGTGCAGGTTGCAGGTCACTCTTCTGACCCTGCCTGCTCACCATGTACACGATGCCTGTATGTATCAGTTCTTCGCGAATGCCTGGTTGGAGCATGGCATGTTCTTGTCATTTTTCTTTGGTCCTGTTTTGGAGGATCCTGACTCCTAAGGCTATCTTTCCAGCATATTATTTTTCTCAAGTATGGTTTCCTGGGGAACTTGTAATTCTAAGATACAAGGTCTAATTTTAAATTCCTGATTTGGTTCCTTACAGGATTCTGTTGAATACAGAATTTGTTTAATTTTACAACTTGTCATTTACTGTCATAACCCAAGCATTTTCGATGTTGCTAGATAGGTGAAGGGTTCCTTTCTGTTCAGGTGAAACTGATCTTCAGAGTGTCCAATTGGAATAGGGGTGTGGGGGGGGAGGAGTATGTTTAAACTAAGCAGTATATTATTAGAATATATGAGCTGAAGACATTAATGAAGAAGGACCCAGTTAAGACCTTGACATTGTGTTACAGACCACATGGAAAAGTAAACTGAACCTAGAAAAACCATAAAGTTAGACTTTTCCCCCCAGTCAATAATGTCAATCATTAACATGTCACAGAGGTGAAACTGATTGCAGAAGGGATTGGCTTTGATTTCTTTGATGATTCATCAGCAACAACAACATAGAGTTCATACTTTTTTTTTATATTGTTGTTTTTCGAGTCAGGGTTTCTCTGTGTTGTTCTGGAGCCTGTCCTGGGACTAGCTCTTGTAAACCAGGCTGGCCTTGAACTCACAGAGATCTGCCTGCCTCTGCCTCACAAGTGCTGGGATTAAAGGTGTGTGCTACCACTGCCCGGATAGTTCATACTTTGAACATCTTACAGACTCGACAATAAATGCATACAGTGACTGAGGAACTGGCCTAACAGAAGTCACATTCTCTATTACAGCTGTAAACTCAGCCCTGGAACAGATGCTTAAAGTTCCATATCTTTTGGAAACTAATGTCAATCAATTGCATTTAAACTAATGCCAATCAATTGCATTTAAACGGTGCAGTAATGTAGCCCTCACTGCTTAGAAACAATTCCTGAATTTTCTTCTCCATAAGCAGTTTCTCTCTCTCTCTCTCTCTCTCTCTCTCTCTCTCTCTCTCTCTCTCTCTCTCTCTCTCTCTTTCTTCCACATTCTTTGAGCGATGGTTTCAGAGCCCCATCTTCAGAGCCTTTGTGTGCTTGTCTAAAATTCCACGTGATCTCTCCTATATGCAAGACCTCATTTTGAATTCTTACATGTGTGGTGTGAATGCTGGTATAGCTCCTTGAGTTAGAAAGGGACTGAAAGAGAAGAGAGGAGGGTTGAAGGAAAGGGGATAAGAGGGTACTAATAGGACGTGTTTGATATCAAAGTGGAAAGGAGACAGGGATAGGGGGAAGGGGAGCCACCCCAAAAAAAGAGTCTGTATGAAAATGCCATAATAAACCCATTTCTCTGCTAAGTACCAAAAAGAAAAGCATTCCCTATGCAAACCTCCCCCATGTCCCCATGTCTCCACTGTGTGTTTTATTGCGCGTATGCTGGCACGTGTTTGGATATTTTTATCATAAGTGTCTTTAAAACTAGTATATTTTGGTGTATACAGTTTTCTTCCCAAGTTTTACATATTTTATCTTATTGGATGTGAAAGGAAAAAGAGCAGGAATAATTATTTTAAAGTGTATGTATTTGTGTTCTTCATGGTTAAAGAAAACTGTGCCAATGCTTATCTGGTCCACATAATCAGTTAATTGAAGAGTCATGTTGCCGAATATTTTCTGTTTATTGGATTATTTGGTGGTTCCAAGAATATATTTTGACATTTTATCTTATTTTTGATTTTGTATGAATTCTTGAATTTTTGTCATAATTTAACACTTCGGTTTGGAAAATCGAGCACATTTAAATATCACACTCATCTATACATGCATGTATGTGTGATTTTCTGAGACTTGAATCTTTTTCTGTGCTGATTTTTCCGCCGTTCGTTTTCCAAGCGCCTTCGGTGTATATTAATGAAGCCCAGTTGTGCTAGTGTGGGACTGAGGTAGCACTCTTCGCTGGGACACAGTGGGAATTGCTGCGCACATGAGACAGGAAGACACGGATTTGGCTCTGACCTGTCCTTTCTTAGGAGCCAGGCCTTGCCTTCCCTTTTGGTCATGTCCGGATAGCTTCTTGTTTTTCTGTCTCTTCCGAGAAAACTCTCATTGCACAATTTAGTATTGATGATAGTAAGTGCACTATTGAACAGGGGACCTTCACAGCTTATCTTGTTTGACTGAGAACAGATCAATTGATTGGGAACGCCCTGTTTAATATACACACACTCACACACACACACACACACACACACACACACACACACACCCATTATGCTGGCTAGTTTTACATCAGCTTGACGCATGCTGGAGTCATAGGAGAGGAGGGAGTCTCAACTGGGAAAAATGCCTCCGTAAGATTGTGTGGTAGGCAAACCTGTAGGGCATTTTCTTAACTGGTGATTCATGGAGGAGGGGACAGCCCATTGTTGGTTGTGCCTTCCCTGGGCTTTGATGCTACAAGAAAACAGCTGAGCAAGCCAGTAAGCTTGCTCCTTCATGGCCTCTGCATCAGTTCCTGCCTCTAGGTTCCTGGGTTGCTTGAGTTCCTATCCTGATAAACAGTGGTGTGTAAACAGAAGCACAATAAACCTTCTCCTCCCCAACTTGCTTTTGTTCGTGGTGTTTCATCACAGCAATAGACACCCTAACTAAGACACCAGCCCTTCTCCACTCTCATCCCTATTCTTGGCTTAGGTGAATCTTAGCTATTTTCAACAATTCATGTAGTAAAAATCACGCAATATTTGTCCACTGATAAACATCTTAAGTTTTTTGTTGATGTTATTGTAAATCGTGCTGTAATGAACATAAAAATGACACTTTCCCTTGAAGGTCCACATTCCAATAGTGCTGGATATGTACCAGTAAGGGAAATTGCCATGTCGTATGTTGTTCCATGTTAATATTTTCAAGACTTCCCTACTGTGTTTCCTGTCCGCCCTGTCACTTTGCCTCTCCAATGGCAGCATGCAGAGACCCTACCATTCTTGCCAACACTAGTTTGCCTGTTGGCGTTGCCTGGTTACAAAGATCCTGACAAAGATGTGACTCCTCATTTGAATTTGGTTTGCATTTCTATATTAGTAATGTTGAACAGTGTTTAATATTTTGTCTTTTGTACGCCATTTAGGGAAGTATTTTTGTTGTTATTTCTAAATCCTAAGGCTTGTGTTTTAAATTTTCCTTTTTTTATTTTTATGTTTATTTTATGGACATTTTTTGAATGTATACATACATGTATACCATGCGTTTCTGGTGTCCCATGAATGCCAGAAAACAATATCAGATCCCCTGGAGCTGGAGTTATGGGTGGTTGTGAGCAGGCATGTGGATCCTAGGGACCAAGTCCTCTCTTGAGCCCCTCTTTGTCTCTGTGTACTGTGCAGTAAGGCTTTCTTAGTGACTTTGATGGTTAGCCCCTTACCGGGATACGTAATCATCTGCTTCCGTTCATGGCTTGCATTTCATTCTGATGTTTTTGCTGTGTAGAGATTTTCAGTATGATATCGTTTCCCTGGTTCATTGTGTTTCTGTTGCCTGTGCTTCCGGTGCTGTATCCATTACATCATTGTCGAGACCATTCTCTTAAACTTTATTTCTGTGTTCTCGCCTCGAGTGTTTCCATCTTTAGCAGCACCTTGAGTTGGTGGTGTAAGACCAGTCTCTGAATTGTTTTCTGGTTGATGCAGCCCAGTGTTTGCACACAATCTGTAAAAGACACTGTACCTTCTCCACTCTTTCTTCTTGGCGCTCATGTAGAAAATAAGTGAACTTTATATGTGTTTGTTTCCAGCCTGCCTTTTCTGTTCCTTCCATCCTAGGCCTCTCTTTATGTTGTTGCAACATTCTTTTTATTAAGATTGGCATAATATTTTGCAATCAGCAGTGGGATGAATTCTGCTTTGCCCCTCCTTTCCACGACAGGTTTGGCTATGTGTGGTCTCTTCTGTTCCCATCTGAGTGTAAAATAAATGACTGCTCTATTTATATGGTTTGATAAGTATCACTCTAGACCTGAATTTTTACAAATTTCTTTACATACTTATTTTCATCATCTCTTCCATTTTCAGCCAGTAAATAGTCCGTGTTTTGGTTAAGCGTATTCCTGGTGTCTTATCTCATTGTTGCTGCACACAATGACTGATGTTCGGTTAGTGAGCTCCTTAAGGAAAGGCTATGTCTTGTTTATACATTTTTCACCTAATTCGCCATTCTCCCTGTTGCGTATTGTTTTTCTTTTATTGCTGATCTTTTTTTTTTTATCAAGCTTCTCTTTCATTTCAGGGCTCTGCTAGTCTAACAGCCTCTCCTCCGGTGTCTACTCCCGTCACGGGACATAAGAGAATGGTCATTCCAAACCAGCCCCCTCTGACGGCAACCAAGAAGTCGGCGATGAAACCACAGCCTTCTCCCCAGGCTGCACCCATCCCAGTGACGCCCATCGGCACTCTCAAACCGCAGCCTCAGCCAGTTCCAGCCTCTTACACTACAGCATCCACACCTTCGAGGCCCACCTTCAATGTGCAAGTGAAGTCGGCCCAGCCCAGCCCACATTACACGGCTGGCCCATCTGCTGGACAAATCTATGGCCCAGGGCCTCAAGGCTATAACACTCAGCCAGTTCCTCCGTCAGGACAGTGTCCTCCTCCTTCGACTCGTGCTGGTGCCGACTATGCGTATATTCCACCCCCGGGGCATCAGCCTGAGCCGGGATATGGCTATACCCCCAACCAAGGACGCTATTATGAACCGTATTATGCAGCAGGGCCTGGTTATGGGGGCAGAAATGATGTGGATCCTTCTTATGGACAACAACAAGTTCAGCCTCATACCTGGAAGCGGGAACCTGGGTATGCTGCTTCTGGAGCCGGGAATCAGAACCCTCCGGGGATGTATCCCGTCAGTGGTCCCAAGAAGACCTATATCACAGACCCTGTGCCAGCCCAGTGTGCACCACCACTGCAGCCAAAGGTAAGAAGTTGACTGACATAGCAGTGGGGAAAAAGGAAATATCTGCTTAATCAGCCTTCCCTAGAGAGCAGCACTGAAGACAGACATGCACGTGTGTCTCTTTCTATTAGCAGATGGCACCCCGGAGGAAACCAGTGAAGCAGGAAAGCTGAGTGTGGTCCTGTTAGCTCAGTACCAATATAGTCACTGTTTAGCGTCCAGTGCAACCAATTCCTCAGTAATGAACACATATCTCAGAAAAATCTGATCTGGAGGAAGTAACAAAAAAATCATTCATCTTCCAGCTATTATATTCTGTCCATTACAGCATCCCTTTCTGGATAGTGCAGAAGCATCTTCAGACATGTTATACTTACATGGCACCTGGATATTATTGTAATATCTCATGCTTTGTCGGGTACAAGGAATTCCCGGTTCTACAGGTGAGACGTGTCCAGAGCAATCATATGAGCTACTGACAGGCAAAGCCCATGCTGAGGTGGTAAGAAGTCAAGCAGCATTGGTACCACAGTGGCCACAAGGGTCAAAGAAATAGCCAAGGGCAGGTCAAGTGTATCTAAGACAGGCAGGCTACTTTCCTTGGGAAATAAGCATAGATCATAGGGCCTGTCGTTGGCCCTTGTTTTTTTAGATCACATATTCTCTGGCAAGAGTCTCACCCTTCAGTCTTTAACTCCATTAGGAATGTTTGAAAATCCGTTATGAATGGCGGCTCCCTTCTGTTGTTAGAGTTAATAGCCAGCACTGTATATAGATATCTGTTTAAATTCAGTCCACCCAGTTACTGCTAATGACTACAGAAGCTATAGAGCAACAGAGTATATACTATACTCCCTACTCATCGTAACTTGGGTGTTCCCCCCTAGTCCCGGGACAACACTGTGCTTCTATCAGAATTACTATTAAGGGGGTGAAACGAAGAAACTGAGCCAACTTTCAGTCCCTGGCTTAGGACCAAGTCCTCCTTCCCATTCAGTAAGAGGTGTGAGGATGCCAGGGTTACAGGGCCTTGTATATCTTGAAGCTGAATGGGAATTTGAGGTGATGAATTGGGGAGACAATTAGACTATTTTTTCAATGATTTCCAGATTTTGATCTGATTGTCAATGTAATAGCAGATCTTTCTCATACTCAACTTTGGAGCAAAAAAATAAAATTTTAAAAATGCCCTATCATCTGATATGTACAAGCACTAGCTCATCACTCTTATGTGAAAGGTGCTCTTGTATCATTGTGCTCCAAACAAGCATCAGAGTCTGTAAAAGTACACGGTGTTTCCAAGTGGGGCCTGTGATGTGCGGGAGGAATCTGCAAGCCTCATCTATGACCCTTTTATCGAGGTAGGCTAACCTGGATCATTTTCCTGAGGCTCCTGTAATAAAAGTCGAGTGGCTTTTGGAATATGACTGAAACCTCCTAACACAGAGGAAGCTCTTCTCGGCTGGGAGATGAATTTGTGGGTAAATTGTGAGGACCATTAAGTGTGATGACCCATTTAAAAGCTAGATTTGCGTGGTGGCCCTCCTGCAATCCAGCATCAGAGAAGCAGAGACCACGGAGTCAGACTGGCCAGAGCAACAGAGATTGCAAGCTTCACATTTAGCGAGAGAGACCAGGAGTTGACCCTGCCTCAAACTATGAGGAATCTATTGGGATGTTTAGGAAGGCTGTGGCCATGCAACTTATTTAAAAACAAACACAAAACCTGGCCTTTTTTAAGGGATGGTATGTATGCACATATAGAGTATTTATGTGTATGTACTTAAGTTCACTCGTGTGAACATGATACGTAAGGTTGATTTCTGGTGTCTTTATCATTCTGCACCTAATTTATAGAGGACTACTCAGAGAAAGAGGTCATATCACAACCCTTTGAGGGTGCTATTTCACCACTGGGTAATCAGAGAAGACAAAAGTACATGTATAAGCAAGACACGTTTTGACCCCAGATATTATAAATCCCAGCTCAGTATTTGTTATATAACTCCTCAACAGAGGGTGTAAAACTTTCGTTTGCTTCTTACTGGAAGAAGGTAATGGCCCAAAATGACTAATAGCATCCCTGCCGATTTGGGGTGTCGGTGGATTGAGTATCATTTTTTAAGAAGTGGAAGTATTTGTTTCTCAACAGTGTCGTGCATTTTCACATCAGATTCAATTTGCAAATTAAAAACGAAACGCAGTCATGTACTTTTCCCTGGGATTATGGAAGAGAGTGGTTCGAGACTGGTATTTAGCCATCTGTCTGTACTGTGGGGAGGCAGAGAGAAGGATGAAGCGCCATGGCATCTTCTGTCAATAGGGTGGGCATCCGCCGATGAGGAGTGGGCAGACACTGTCTCAGCAGAGCACTGCCGACTCCAATTCCTCCTGTGTGGAGTCTATTTGGCTGAAAGATGTGATTTCTGCCATCAGAAGTAAGCTCCTAATTCCTATCGGAGTTCTCTCTTTACATCCTTTGATCAGTCAGAAGAAAAGCTCTTGACTTTGTCCTATTTTCAGCCAATGCTGAAGGCAGGGGTCATCTTCTCTAATTAATTAGTGATGACAACGAGTTGGACATTTCCACAGCTGGAGTAACACCACTGGCTTGCCCTTGTTTTTGTTTATTTAGATACTAATGGAAAAGATGCTTTGTATCTTTAAACAGGGCTCTTCATTACACTGAGGATTTCAGAACACTTGACATTGAAACTATTAGGGCTTTTTTTTTTTCTTTCCTCTGTTGTATTTGGGATCTGTGGTTTTAATTTTCCTACACTTTAGAACATAGAAAAGAAAAAGAGTGGAAGCATGGGAAAGATAAGGAAAAGAAATATGTGAAGAAAGCGAAAGTCAGATTATATTTGTGTTCCCACAATGCACTGACTGAGCAGCGAGTTTGCATCCTTTAGTAGCCTGCAGTGTGCTCCCGGTAACAACTGGGCTGAGATTCCCCTGAGAAACACTGTAATAAGCAAGCCCTTGCAAGGAGCAAACATTTTCTTCTCAAAGTCCTCTTGAAGATACACTGGCATCTTTTCTTCCGGGCTGATTTATACAGGCTATCTCTGACTCTGTTTCTGTGTGTTAACTTCCTTCCGAAGGGGCCTATATGTTTCTTGCAATATTCAGGTAAGGTGGCCCAGCTTGCTGGATGCCAGGGCAGCATTTTGGAGGCATCATGATTCTCAAGCATATACTGATGAAGTGAGTTTAGCATCTGTTTTCTTGTCATAGACTAAGATCTAGATTAGCCTCAGCCATGGGGCTGAGTGAGGGGACAGTTGTTTGCTGGTATGTGAAGACACCGGTGCTGTGCACCTGAGAAAAGTGGCAGGACTCTCTTCCCCCGTGTTATACTTATGTTAAAGTCTAGTGTCATATTCTATTAACGTGCCCTTGAAATGCCCTCCAGGATGATTGGCTTTTAGAAATGTCAGACCATCCCTCAATGCACCTAACACAGGCGGTTTCATTACCAGAATGCAACAGACTTTTTTTTTAATTTATATTTGGGACTTAGGAGATATATAATAGTTCAGGAAAGAAAAAGTGTCAAAGGAATTCTCAGTCCTGTAATTTCTATGAAGATTAAGAAAACATTTGAGATGGTGTAGTACCATTCCATACATCCTAGTAGTATCAAACTGTGGAAATGTTTTTAGCTTCTTACAGTGGCGTATGTAGAATAGACTGCAAGGAACGGCTGGTATGTTAAAGAGCCATCTTTTTGGAAATCCTCATATTGGCTGTGTCTCCTTCCTAGGAAGAGAGGAACAGTAAGGAAGCATTCAGGGACGGCAGAAAGGTGGGCTGGGACATGTGTCTGGCCTTTGCTGCTGGCATCTGGTACCGCATGGTGTTGAGGATGGAAACGGTAACTTGAGGCCGGTGGCGGGGATGTTGGTCACTGCCCTTGAGGACCACTGTGGCCCTGCATGACCATGGACATTAGGTGAACTCAAGTCCAAGCTTTATTCTTCCTCATTCATGAATCACTTGCCTGTGTCACGTGTCAAGTTCCTGGAAAGCCGCAAAGTCAAGTATTTTGGAGAGTATCTTCGTTCTCAGGGTAGCGATGACCTGGGTCTTGGCATCTTTGGGTATTTGGAAGGAAGACGCTCCATATCCATGCTGTTGCACATGGACTCACAGTGGCCTGGGCTACTGTGTGCTATGCACAGGCCCCAGCCTAGGCAGCTGGGCTGCAGTGTGAGTGAGGTCAGCAGTTTGGGGGAAGTGGGGAGATCCCCACTAAATCCCTATAACCATGCTTTCCCTTCTCCATTCCTCATTGTCCCTTATGGTTCACGGAATGATATATGATGGCCGTACTTTAGATTTGAAAAAGTGACTCCATTATATGTTTAGCAAGCGAAAATAAAAAGAGAGAAGGGGGTGACACAAATGCACAAATCATCAAATTGGAGGCTCCAAACATGCTGTAGAAATCGTCTGGGGAAACCCCTTTAAGATAGCCAGCTGCCGTTCCCAGTAAGAGAGTCCTGGGCACAGCACGCTTTCTCCATAGGTAAAGCTTTTAAGAAAAGAACATATAAGAGCAAGGAGGTATGACATCGTCAAACTAGACGATACGGGCATCCAAGAGAAATTGACTGTCATGCTGAAGCAGGATGCTAGAGGACCCAGCGCAGAGTAGTGTCCCAATGTATCCCCCCCCCCGACATTTTTATATCATGGTAAACAGTAGGAACTTCTCTTGGAAATGCTTTTACTTCTCACTTTTCTCAAGAACACGTTTCTACCTCATGAGCTGTGTACCTGGGCTCTTCCCTCCCTGTCACAGGGGAGGAGCATCAGCATCCCATCCAGGGGCCTGGGAAGATACTTGACAACAAGCATGCTTATGTCTGAAAGTGGGGACAACATTTTATTTTACTCCTGAGTTCCTTTGTTTAATTCTCTCCGGCACCCTTGAAATCATTTGTGTACGCTGTGATCTGAGTCTAACTCAGTGGTAGAGATCGGGCCCGTTTTGCTCTAGGCCCTGAATGTGA